CGGCCGCTGCCCGGTGATGGCTGACAGCCGCCGCGGACGGCTGAAATACGTGTTTCGGCTGGGTTTTTTTAAGAGGTTAAAATGGTTATCGTGCATAAAATGTAGCTCACTGGGGTGGTTTTTTGTTGTTGTTGTTGTTTTGGGTTTTGTTTGTTTGTTTTGGTTGTCGTTGGGTTTTTTTTATTTATTTACTTTTTACTCTCCTGCGTTGCTCTGTGCACTGACTCAGTGTACGGACCGTTATTTGAAACTGTTTCTCCCCCGTCCCCCTCGATGTCCTTTTAGCTCTGATTTTGATCAGAGCATCTCCTTTTTAATACTTTATATATATATACACACACACACATATATATATAAAAGGTATACTTCATATATATATACACATGCACATATATAAAAGGTGCTTAACTGGAAGCATGGGTGGCGAATCATCGTCTGCCTGTGAGCTGTGAAGGCGTTGTTGGGCTTCCCCGGTGGAGCCCTGGGATGAGCCCACCTTGCGCCTGGTCCTTGTGCCGGCAGGTCGCCCTGTCCCCATCACATGCGGCCCCTGCGGCCGAGGGGACAGGGCTCTGCTCGGCTGTCGGGGCATGCAGCCCGTCGAGGCAAAAAGTTTATTTTGCTTGGCTGGCAAAGGTCCTCCGCGAGCTGCTGAGAAGTTAAGGAAAGTGCATTAAGAGGCCTGCTTGGCACTTTGGTCTTTGAAGTCCGTTCTGGAAAACTGACGTCGTTTGTTGATTATTCTTAATGGGCTTCAGGAGGTGAATGGTGTTCTTGGAGCTTTTTTTGTCCATCCTTCTTCAGGGAGTAAGCACTGTAGTGGTGTTACTGCAGCCAGTGAAACTTCAGGGGGAACTGAGAGGGACACTGATAGGTTTCATGTTCCTCTTTTAGTTATGCTGTGCTCTGGATAAGCTGATTAGCTTCTTAGTATTTAACTGCCTCTTTCTTCAGTAAAACGGAACTAAGATGTCCACATCTCGGGGATTGTTGTGCGGCTTACTTTATTACCTGTGATGTGCTGCAAGGTGTTCCAGGTCAGTTTGAGAAGCAAAACATAGTCAATTTGTAAGACATTGGCCGAACAGCTTAGCTTAAAGAGCCAAAGGGGATGGATTTGAACAATAAAGTTGGGTTGTGTGGAGGGATGGGATGATGTTTCTCATTCCCATTTGTGAGGAAGGTATTCACCCAGAGGGTTTGGAAGGGTTGACAGCCAGGGAAAAGCAAGCGGCCATTGCAACAAGTCATTTCTGCTCAAGACCTTTATTGAAGACTGGTTTCTGAATTGCAGGATACCATTTGTTGGAAGTAAATGCTGACTGAAGTAAGTAAATCATCGGTAGTTTCATAAACAATGTGTCAAAACATACATTACTGTAACCACTATTTCTCACAAATAAGCCACATATCTAAGGAAAATTGGAAACCAGCATACACATTATGTCAGTGTGCGCAGGGAAACGAAGAACCAGGATGGTCTTGAAATGGAACAGAGCGTTCCAAGAAATGATTCACACCATGAACATCTTCAGATGTCTCCCTGCGGGCCGGTATTGACCATCTGATGTGCTGAGGATGATCAGTATTTCTGCAGCAAAACCAAGCAGTGTGCCGTGAAGAAAACAGAATTTGGAAACAATGTGTACTTCTGGCTTTGTGATTTAGCAATTGAGAGTGAAAAGCTGTTCTATAGGACATCTGGTGATGTTCTGATACATCTGTAATTATAGTTAAGCAGTCTGTAAGAGGATACTTTGGGATATGTGTTCTGACCCGTCATGAAGCTGTAGTGATTCATTGTCCTATGTGTGGGCACTATTCCTTGCTTTAGGAGCATGGAGCCCGGTGAGTTCTGTATGCTGAACTGTTTTTGGAAATGTTTTAGCGCTGGATGCTTCTCTGCTAAGGATTTGTGGGAGTGGAAGTGAGAATTTTCTTTACTTGGAATTTGAATTCTGCAGTGCTTACTTTAAAATCAAACAGCTGTTCTCCAATAATTGTATAACTGTCCCTGAATAACCCTATACAAACAAATCTAGTTATGGAAATAAGCTTAAAACATTAAGGGATGAGATGGAAGGGAAAGAAAACAAAATTCCTATATGCAGCAATCCATGGATTGCAGGGAAGAGAGAAGAAGAGCAAGATGAGTGAATAAGGGATAAGCCACCTGAAATGACTCCCAAAACATTGTGTATTCTTTCTCTTCAGTAGCATACAACTGCTGTTGGCTTGATTTCTTAAATGGGCTTGGTTTACAGCAGAATGCCATCCCTACTACACTCAAGGTTAAGTAGTGTTTCTTATCATCAGTGCAAAATGTCAGGTACTCTAAAATCTACTTGTTTGCTACTACCTGTAGAAATGTATTGATCAGGAACAAATAAAAGCTGCCTTACACTTGCCCTATTCCACAGAAGAAGAAAAAGCCTATCTATTAAAATTTACGTTCCCTTAACCTTTATGCATGCAGTGATATTTAGTACTTTTAGGTACAGGTTGCCAAGCACGCCATTCAGTTTAAAACTCCCACCAAACTGTTGCCAGTCCTCCTGGGGAGAAGATGATCTGCTATGGGAACAGGCTAGAAGATGCAGGACCTCTTTCCTTTGACATATGGAGAGCAAGCAGGTGTTGCTGGCCCTTCTGCTTTGTTAAGCTTCTCAGAAATGACTCTGCCATGGTGCTCTAGTGATTTTTTTCTGCTTTTCAGTGCTACCGCAGGGAAATGCAGCTGATAATTCCTACGGCCTTTTGTCAGCTCCAAAGGAGCAAAGAAGTTGTGTGAGAGTGCACCCAAACTCTCAACTAATACTTTTTCTGGTTGTTTGGTTTTGGGTTTGTTTTTTTTTTATTATTTATTTCTGGGCAGGGTTTTGTGTGTGTGCATGTCTCCAGATGAAACTGTGCTGAACAGCATGTTTCTGTATTCCAGAAATTGCACAATCTGAATGAATGCAGAACCAAAGCACTATGCTCACATTTTTCTTCCAGTTCAGAACCTGTCTATGAGACACTCATATAGTGCTTGTCTTGGATACATACATATTCATGAGTATGAGGAGATACTAGAAGGAATGACTAGAGTGCAGCAGCTTTACATTTAAAAGATTTTTATGAAGGAACTCCAAATACAAATGATTCAAGGGAGAAATGTGGAAGCTACGTCCAGCCACCTTAACAGGGCCATTGTGGTAGATGTCCCTGTCTTGTCCTGCCTGGATCTGCTTCAGTCATTTGACATAGGCTGAGAAATGATGAGTTTTAAAAGTGTTTTTGACAACAGGAGATTTGTTTAAAAGTCTCAGGAGGCTCTTTTAATTCTTGAAGTCATTAGTGCATGGTTTGTGTGGAGGAGCTGCATGCCTGAGCTTAATTTCTGAGCCATGTGCCTACCAGAAGGTGTTACATTGGTAGCTGCTAGCGTGTTGGGGAGGAACTTTTCAATCGGTTTTTAAAATGTCTGTGAAACACCCCATAAATTTTTGAGAAGATAATTGGGTTATAAGACCAGCACCACAAAGTTAGTGAATGTCTGGATTAAGCTTTCCAGACTGGCCCCAGTTTGATTTCATTGTTGGAATTCTTGTTGTAAGCAGTTGGACTTTGTAGCTGTGATTGAATTATATACAGTGCTAATTAAACGAAATACGTATGTAACTGCATACTTCATGTTTTCAGTCCTGAACCTGGGGCTCTGGAGCCTGTTTTGCAGCGGTAGTGAATCTCCACTGCTGGTGTTAATGGGAGCTCTGCTTTGGGCATATGAAATGCAATAGAATTTTGAAACACCTGAAGTTGGGCACCCAAAATTAGTGTGGGTTTTTTTTTGTTTTTAAGTCTTAAAATTTGTTTGAAAATACATTAAGCATTTATATATTGCACAGATGGGCATTTTGGAAAATCTCATGAGGTAATGAAATCTGTCTCCACAGCAGTTTCTTCATCATTCAAACCATGAGTGGAAGACTCAGTCTTAGGTCCATGTGTTGAGCAATGGGAAAAAAGCCGAAAGTGATTAATCAGAATAGCAGCTGATTAAGTGTGTGCTGTCCATTCCTTGCACTGAATAATGTAGAGAGCTTGTAGAAATTGTGCCTCTGAAGACAGCGAGATATGCAGGGTGTTGATTAAACGTTGCGCAGGTGGCATTTTTGCCACTTCATAGATTTTGCAGGCTTCTCTTGCAATTGTAAGCAGTATGTATGCACGCAGCAGAAACAGTAGGTTAAGACAGCGGGTACATACCTGCTGATACAAATGGTTGAAGAGCCTGTTTCCTTGGAGAGAACTAACGTGTGCGCTTTATATGTATTTGTATGTATTTTGTTTTGTTAGATAGGAAAAGATTTTAACAGACTACTACAGAAGACCATACAAAAGATAAACGTTGATAACGGTGTCAGTTGAAACACTGTTTAGTAGGTACATCACTGTCGAGGAGAAAGAACAGTGTTTATACTTCATGGCTATAGGAGGTTTTTTTTAATCTCCATTCTTTCATTTTTTTTTCCTTTAATTTTACTTCACTAGCAAAACATTCACCAGTATGAATTGGACTACTATGTAATTAACTTTCTAATAGGAAAGTGTCATTTCTTTGGAAGACTAGTGAGTTTGCTTATGGTTCAGGAAATACTGTAAAAGGAGTTATATGGACTCTGCTATAAAATAGATTTGGTTTTCTTTCCTATTTGTGGTTGTCTCAGGTTGTGCTCTTCATATAGTCTACTTTACTAAAAGCATTATTTAATAAATTGTTGGACAAACAGAAATAAATCATATATAGTAGAAATTAGTTGGCTTTACGCATTAGTTCAAATTTGGGATGCAGAAGTCTTTGCCAGCTATCTCTCTCATTATTTTTCTTATTTTCTTTTAATCTGTTGAATACATATAATCCTTTGTAATCACTGTATCCGAGTGTCCCAAGTAGCTACAGAGTCAGGCTCCTCTTTGCTTTCTCTCCTTTTTGCTAATATTCTTTGAACTTGAGCTGCTTTACAGCATCAAAGAGACGAGGGTGTGGAAGGCATGACTAGCTCAGGTTTGCTTATTTTACCTTAAATCTTTGCATCAGGTATGTAAAAGTCACCATGGAGAGAATTACGGCATGAAGCAGGCTGTTACCTCTGATTGTACAGCTGATGCTCTGCTTTGCTTTGAGCGACAAGCTGTGACAGCACTCAGACACACAGCCTAGCTAGCTGTAACGTAAAAGTGACAGTGTGGTGGCAGCGAGCATCCCTGTGAGCCGTACCAGGGTCCTGGTGCCTGTGAAATTGCTCTTGGTACTCGGTGTGGCAGACTGAGCGAGCCCAGGTACACTGCAAGGTGGATTCACGCAGTGAAACCTTAGAGGACGATGCTGGCTTGAAGTACCGCAGCTCTCCTTCAGCCACCCTGTGAAATTACGGCCCTGTCATTTCGTATCCCGGCACAGTTTAATCTGCACAAAGACTGCAATACCTCAAGTGTCAGCGGCAAGGTTGATAAACTTAACACGTTGTTGGCTTCAGAGGCTGGTTCCAGTACTGCAGGGTGTTGCTGTCTGCCTCCCCTACCTTTTCCTACCTTCCAAAAAGAGCACTGCAGGCTCCTCCGTGCCGTTGGCTAGCCCCTGCTCCAAATACCGAACGCGGTCCTTGCAACACGTGTGAACTCTCCTCTCCAACGAGGGTGGGCCTGATGGCCTTCAAAGAGCTGACTCCTCTCAGCACGCTTTGTGGCGCTATGTGCAGGTGCAGAACTTTGAAATTCACGGTGGAGCTTCTGGGTCTTGAAGAGCTGAAGCTTCTCCCTCCGGAGTGACATTATTTGGCCTTTTTCCAAGGGAATGGCTTAACTAGCTTTTGCCCTCAGCATGCAAGTTGCTGATACTTGTTGTTCTTCTCTTGACAGGCTGCTGATACCCTTGCTGTGAGGCAGAAGAGAAGGATCTATGATATCACCAACGTTTTGGAGGGGATTGATCTCATTGAGAAGAAGTCAAAGAACAGCATTCAGTGGAAGTAAGCCTTCTCAATTCTGCAAATTTTCACATGCTCGAAAGCAATAAAAATTGCCTCTTTCCGCTTCCTCTGACTAGATACGACATTGCAATGTTTTGCTTATCAGTGAGCAATGTGACATTTCAGAATCACAGTAAAGTTGCAAATGAACTTTATCTGTCTTCCCTTTAACTTGTGTCTTTGATACATAAAATCAAGTTTAAAGCATGCAGGAGAGAAACTCGGAAAACTTGTACTGCTACTTTATAACTAGCACTTATAGTTGAAAAATTTACTCTAAATGAATCTGGGAAGGGTATTGGGACACAGTGTCTCCACCTGCCTACCCTCCTGTAGTCCACGTCTATTTTCTCTTGGGTCACTGGAGGTGAAAATTCAAGCTAAGAGTCAGAGGGGAAGGAGAAAGGGCCTGCGAACCGGCTCCAATGCAGAAAAAGCAACATTCCAAAAGAAAATAGGTAAAGGGGAATTTAAAATTTGATTTGAAGTTAAGAATTTTCATTTTTTTCTGTTAAAATACTGCTGGGAGGGTAAGCACTCATTTCCTTCATATAGAATATTAGTAGATTTTCAAAATATTGAAAGTAGTCTTAAGAAATTATCTTTGCCTGTTTGCTTCAGATTTTCATTTCTTGTGGTTTCATGAACCTTATGCCTTTTTAAGAGGAGTAGGTGCTGGCTGCAATACAAAAGAAGTCATAGACAGGCTGAGGTATCTGGAAGCTGAAATTGAAGATCTAGAACTAAAAGAGAAGGAATTGGATCAGCAGAAACTGTGGCTTCAGCAAAGTATCAAGAATGTCATGGATGATTCTACAAACCACCAATATCCTTTTAAATTAATTGTGTGCATCTTGGAACTAGAATTAAAGCAACAGTTAAAGTGTAGGTGATGGGTAAAGCATGATGTAGTCCTGGTGGACAACAGGATGACCATGAGCCAGCAATATGGCCTGGTGGCCAATGGCGTCCTGGGGTGCATCAAGAAGATGCAGGTCGAGGGAGGTCATCCTCCTCCTCTACTCTGCCCTGGTGAGGCCTCATCTGGAGTATTGTGTCCAGTTCTCGGCTACGCGGTTCAAGAAGAACAGGGAACTGCTAGAGAGGGTCCAGCAAAGGGCTACAAAGATGATTCGTGGATTGGAGCATCTTTCTTATGAGGAAAGGTTGAGGGACTTGGGTCTTTTCAGTCTAGAGAAAAGATGACTGAGGGGAGATCTTATCAACGCTTATAAATCCTTAAAGGGAGGGTGCCAGGGGGATGGGAACAGTCTTTTTTTCAGTGGTGCCCAGTGATGGAACAAGAGGTAACGGGCACAAACTTGAATATAGGAAGTTCCATCTAAACATGAGGAGGAACTACTTTACTTTGAGGGTGGCAGAGCGCTGGCACAGGCTGCCCAGAGAGGTTGTGGAGTCTCCCACTCTGGAGACATTCAAAACCCCTCTGGATGCCGTCTTCTGCAAGCTGCTGTAGGTGAACCTACTCTGTCAGGGGGGTTGGACTAGATGATCTTCAGAGGTCCCTTCCAACCCTGACCATTCTGTGATTTTATCCAGAAGTAATGAAAGGCAAATATTTTTTCTGGTTGTGGTTCCGAAAGAAATAAAATATGAATCTTATTTACATAACTTTTTAACCTCTGTGACTGTATGATTGGTAACTTGAAAATAATTTAGCACGCACACATATATATGGCAGTAATTTTTGAGCCCATGTTATAATCCTGATGTCTTATTTTAAATTAATTATATTGCTTTCCAGCACTTAAATCTATACTTTCTTAGCAGTGCTTCACATGAATCTTTTTTTGTGTTGCTTTCTTCTCTTGAAAAGATTAAGCTATCACCCAAAGATAAATTGAGTTGTCAACGTCCTGAAACTTGTTGGGTTTGCAAATGGAAAAATATCCTATGTGTAAATACTCCATGAGCAGAGAGTTCCTGCTGCGTTCCTTGTAACCACGTGTTTAGCTGGCTTGCAAGATATTGAGCAAAACAGACACCTGAGATTTGGAGCAGAAAAGTGCCCTTCTTAGCTATAGTGCCAGTGATAAGTACTTCAAAATTGCTTGCAGTTGCTCTACAGAAACTGCTTCCATAAAATGGATTTTGCAGAAAGGAGATTGAAGTTAGATGTTAGGAAAAATTTTCCTTTGGGAGAGCTGGCACTGGAATTGACCCCCCAGGGAGGCAGTGGAATATCCATGTCTGGAGGTTTTCCAGAAGAGGGAAGGCAAACATCTGTCTGGAATGTCTTAACAGTTGATCCTACCTTGAGGCAGGGGAACGGGGTGGCAGATGAACTCTCAAGTCCCCTCTGGCAGTACTTCTGTGTGATTTTGGGAAGTTCTGATATGCACTTGAATTCTATAGTGTCAAGTTAGTGAGGTAAATGGTATCGTTCAAAACAAGATTTTACACATTCTCCTTTTTTAGAATAATCTCTTCTCATTCAAGCTATGCAACTTTTTTCTTTTTGTATTTTCTTCACAGAAATAGATTATTTTTTTTCTTTAAAAGGCAGAAGTCTGCTATTTTTAACCAGCCCTTCTGAAAGCCAAAAATCATGCCTTGATTACACCTCTGAGTAACAGCGATAACTTCATAGTTTAGGATCAGTTTGGACAAACTTCTTTTAAAGGGCAACAAATACCAGTTTCATATTGCTTTAAGAAAAACGTTCCTTGACATAAGTTACGTTTTCGTATGTCACCCATGAAGATATCTGCAACTGCTTCAATGGTAAGTTGCTGCTCGGCTGTATTTCTTAAAGTGAGGGGTTTCCTGATCTTCCTCTTGAAAACTAAATTGCTAACTAACCTGCTTTTTTCCTGTAAGTATTTTCAATTTAGAAGTATTCAATTGTGATCAGTAGTAAGTAGATGTTTCTCCTGATGTTCGTGACTAGCGAGTTCTGACATTTTCTAGTTGTAGTCACAGATTGTATGGAACGGGAGCTCAGCTGTTTTCGGAGTACTGTCTTTGGATGTCTCTGTATTCATACTTTGCAGCAGATTGCCTCAGGCATGTTGGTCCAACCCACCAGGAAAACCTGGCAGGTCCAAATTTCCTAAAATTTTCTGGTGGCAGCTGCAGCCAGAGGGAGCTCCTGATGGTGCTATATAAATGGGGCCAGCTAAAGTTCAAAGATGGGGCATTGGTACTAAATCAAAAGGATTCCTTCTGTACAGGAGGTTTGAAGAAATTGCCAAGAATTGCTGGCAGAAGTTGCTTCCTTTGACATCCTTTCCTGGTCCTGGGGGCAGCAAAGGGAAAATTGTTGTTCAGGCTACAGCTAGGCTCAAAACCATCTCTTCTTTTGCCACAAGGAAGGTTGTGTTTGTTTTTGAATAAAGTGCAAAATTAGGGAACTAGTGCAGAGTTCAGCAAAAACAAACTGTTACTAAAGAGAGTCATTACAAAACGTGGAGACACCTAGTACGCCAGTCACGTAGTACTTCATGTAAGTGTCTCTTAGGAGGTACAGAAAGAAAAGCATTATTCCAAGTTACGGACAAAAAGAAAACGATGAGCAGGTAGCTGAGTGACCTGCAGTGTAAGGCAGGTTGTGCCAGTGCTGTTGATGTAATTGTGATCTCCTGTCTTTAACCAATACATTTTAGTCCACCTAACCCACAGGTGAGTTTGATAGTCAGCTGTTACATCCCAGTTGTGTGTGCTGCAGCTGTGAGCCAAGACACTGGGAAGTGCTGGTACTGAAGGTGATCGTAAAAGCCTTTTCTTCCTTCTCCTGTTAAATCTCTCGGTACTACCACTGTTTTTCAAAGCCATAAAGTAAGCTGGACCAGAGAGCTGAAAAAGAAACTAGTTAAATAAATACTTTCACCTCATGTTATCTATACAACTAGGAGATCTGGGGACAGTCACAAACAGGTGAAGGAAGTGGTAAATACTGCATTGCTACAAGAAAAGGTTCTTGCAACTATGGTCTAAGTATTGGAATTCTGTGATTTATGTTATGCGATATACTTGGATCTTATAGGGACTATGCAAGTCCCACCACAAGTTTATTTATGCTGGAATTACGCAGTATTTTAAGTGGCCTTAGAGAATTACCATATCTCACTTGAGTGGATACCATGCAAGGCTTAAGAAAAATATGCACACTTAACACTGTCTTAAAAATTGCTATTTAACCAGGAGACACACTTCTAGCAATTCAAGCACCTTGTGGTACACAGTTAGAAGTACCTATACCCGAAATGGTACGTACTGGTTTCTTGTTTACCTGAGTGTTCTAGAGGGATAGTGGAAAAGAAGAGCTACATTAGAGCAGAGGATTTCTCTCTAGCCATGTGCGTGTGGGGAAATTTTTAAAAATTGAGATGCTGTCAGTTGAGAATGGAGGGGATGGGTGGCAAAAAGTGTATTTGGATACCTGGATAGACTAATTGTGACTGTCTTCTATTAAAAACAAGATATAATAGTGTGTTTCTTTGCCCTCTCTTCTTCTGTCTTGCTATTTAATGTTGCAGCTTTTCAAATGAAACTCAATTGTCATGAATTCGCTTGAGAACTTGTTAGCAGCGACTTTTATGTGTCAAATTTCTCTCTATTATATTGCTAAATCAGATCTCTTATGAAAAAGCCTTTTAGATTTATCTGTAGGATTAGTTTAGATTTTGTTTGTGTTTAATAACATGGTACTAGACTGGGTAGAGAAACATAGACTGCTCTCTTGCTTTAGCCAGAAGGCTTAAGCAGGCAGGGCTAAAGTAGGAGGCGAAATTACTTACCCCTGTCCATCTTTAATGTTTTTTGTTGCAGTACTCTGTTTTAAATAGGGCTTACATAGTTGGGAGAGAGCATTGTATGAAGCATGATAGCCACTATGCTTGTAGAAGGGTGAAATTCACCTGAGAAGTTTCACAAGCTATTTTTAGTGAGGCTAAGCACAGTCTAATATCATGAGAGCATCCAAAGCTAGAACCATGAAGCCGATCCCAGTGATACTATTTGTCCGTCTCTGCTGAAAACAGTTCAGGCAATGGTAAGGTTCTCTGTGGGACCAAAATTAGCAGCTGTGATGTTGGGGTGTTTTTGGCATTTTGTCAAGGACTAAAACAGCTGATCTTCGTCTTTTTCACCAACCTCAAATTGGATGGTTTTGTTTTGGCTCCCCTCCCTCGAGGCTCCTTTCCCACTTTTCTCATCCTCATTTTTTCTGGAACATACTTGCTGAAAACCTATTTGCTGAATTAGCCACTGCAGAGTCAGCAGTATCATTGAGGCTGTGCTAGAGGAAGCCAGTCCTAGCTGTATCACTTAAATAACTTGCCAAAAGAAGGCCTGGCAAATCAGCTAAGAAATTGTTTCTACTAACTCATGGTCCTGTGTTCACTCAGTCTGGGTGAGATACTCAGCTGTTTTAGGATGCTTGGTCACAACCAGGATCGTTCTGAAGTTCCCTTTAAAACAAAGAGATTTAAAGGTACAGAAATCATTATTTACCATTGCTGTTATCGATAAGATGTAGCCCTGCTATAAGTCTCATGTAACGAACTCAAGATTTAGTTAAGCACTTTGAAGAATTGTGTATTTGTGTCTTCTGTAACTGTGTTCTGGTCAGGTAAAAACAACAGATTACAAACCTGTAATGTAGGTTTGGTTTTTTTATTAGATCACATGTATTAGGTTTGTGGGTTTTTTTCATTAGTATGATTGGATAAGTTTGTGCCAATCCTCAGCTCTTCCTAGCAATCTAACTAGAAGAGCGCTGTATTTATCTTGAGAATTCTGTTCAAACTTCTTCATTACTTTCTGCAGGAAATAACTCTATGCAGTTACTGTGACATTTGGTAAAGTTCCAAGTTCTCAAGGAACAGTAACTTTCATAATATACCACCTTTACAGGGACAGAATGGACAGAAGAAATACCAGATCAATCTTAAAAGTAGTTCAGGACCTATCCATGTGCTGCTTATAAATAAAGAATCAAACTCCTCCAAGCCCATGGTGTTTCCAGTTCCTCCGCCCGATGACCTTGCACAGCCCCCAACTCAACCTGCGGCTCCAGCGACTCCCCGTAAGCCTGCGACAGCTCCTCAAAATCCACCAGAGCAACATGACCTGAACCAAGGACAAGAGTTACCGCAAACATCAGTTGCGGACACGCCGTCAGGTGGGACCAGGGTTTTTCCTACCCTCACCTAGATTGGTGAGGGAGGAAGGGAACTGGAGGGAAAGAAGAAACCGTTAGAAAAATTGGTAGATAAGGGAAAGATTAAGAATATGCACAGCGTAGCAGCTATCTGTGAAGAAACTACCCCAAGGGCTTACTAACAGCTCTCAGCAGGTTACAGGGAAGCCTCTTCTGTCTGGTGAAACAGATTCTTCCCTTGTAGCTTATCATCTTATACAGAACAGGTTTTGGATGTGATCCTGTTAATTGTTCTGAGGTGCTTCTCCAGAATGCAGTATGGAACGAAATTGCCCACCTCTGAAGCAGTATATGGTTTGAACGTGTACCTTTTAATGAGACAGATAATACAGGCACCAGTTCCAGCTTTTGTGCCACAAAGTCACTTACCTTCTTCTACATAGCCACAGTGAGAGACCGCCTGAGTATCAGATATTTTTTTCATAATAATAGTAGGGTAATATGAAAAGACTTAAGAAAAATGCTGTCAGTGTTACAGACTGTCCTGAATAAAGCGTGCCTACGACTTTGGAAGGGGGAGACTCCTCTCGCCTCATCCCAGGCATTGGCCGTCATCTCCTCGAAAGACAAACCTGTGTTTTGTGTTCCTTTTTACCATAACAGACTTTATAACGTGCCTTTCCATCTTTGTAGACGGCAGCGTGCAGCAGGAGGGGGCAACCCCAGCGGGTCCTTACTCCAGCCTTGCAGAGTCGGTGCTGTACCCCAGCCTTTCAGGAGATGTCGCCCAAGCTACAGCTAGCTCAAATGACTACCAGGGCTTGCTGCCCCTGGATGTTAACTGTATTCTCAAGCCAAACTCATTCGACATAGCAAAGATGGAGGAGCCCACAGGTAGGAAGAAGCAGTTACTGTTTGAATGGTTTTATTAGTTTCCTGATCTTTGTGACCGAGCTACTGATGAGTTACACAGAGGGAAAAACGAGCATTTTCCCCACAGAGGAAATCATTCAGCTCCTGATGAAGCCACTGAGCCAGCTCTGAGGAGCAAGCTCATTTTAAGCAAAGTACTTTTCTCTGCCACCAAATAACCTTCATATTGTACAGGGCTCTAGGGTTATGTGGGATTAGTGGGAGAAATGTATCGGGCAAAAACTGAGGGATACAAAGATGGATATACTTTACATATCCATGGCATGCTGTGTCCACAGCTCCAACACTGTGCGTTAACCATACTGTACTTTGCAATTCATTGTTTTAATGCAGAGAATACGTGTTGACTTCCATAAACACATGCTCCTGTCTTTCACAGGAAATATCAGTGGGGATATTATTGATGAACTCATGTGTTCTGACGGTAAGTATTTAGCATCATTACTTTTCTAATAATCACAAGTAGTAGCATGGGTTTTGTGTGAACAGCACTCTTGGTAGGTGTCTGTTACATCCAGTGCCAAGAGTCAGTATGAAACTACTTCTTTCCCTGTACTGCCTCCTCTATCTTTGTCATTCTTGTCTTTCCTCCCCTTTCCATTCCCTGCAACGGTGTTATTTAACAATCAAAATATGAAAGCCTTAATCCAGCAAGCACTTACATGCATGAGTAACCCACCAGTCCTTAATTCAGGTACAAAGAAAGAACAGGCTGATGACTACAGTGCTGCCTTAAAAAAAAAAAAATAAAAAAAAAAATCTGGTTTAATTCTGTTCTGCCTCAGGCTTCCTGCAGGAGCTTTGAGTAAACATTTCAGAACATATTTACATGCCTGCACGCAGGCGGATACATGGCCAGCTGTGGTATGCTAACAGAACAGACAAACATCACCCATTTCTACTTTTGCACCTTGGTGGCCTTGAGTGTAGAACTGAACCACAGCCAGGAAGTTCACGTGCTCCCTGCCTCGCTGCTCTGTGCCAGGCAAAGAAGTGAACTCAGCTGCTGTAAACATGCTGCTGTAAGCAGCCTCTGCCAATATCTGCCCTTCAAGCAGACAACCTCAGGGCTTATCCAGAAAAAAACATGTAATTATAAGATCCGTGGGGCAAGATGGGATTATGTGAATGTGCCATTACATGGCTACGATGGAAACTGTCTCCACTTTTAGAGTAGGCACAGCATGCCCAACTCATCTGCACTAGGTTAGCGTTCCTGAGGTGCAGCATGAGGGCTGAGGCTTCTCTTCTTGTGTTCCCTCCCCAAAGATGGCTTCAAGTCCATGCTTGAAATACAGCACACAAACTGCTAGCTTCCATTCTTCATCTGTAAAATAGTGATAAATGGCAACTCACTTAAAATGATATTTGAACGCTGATATACACGATACTGTAACAGGATAAAGGAATACAAATACAAATGATGGCTTTCTGATGAAAGTTTCAAAAGCTGCTCAGGAGCTCCTTTGCTGCAGGAGAAATTAAGTCCATATTCCATAGCTATCACTCCATTCCAGCAAATTCACTTAAAATACTAAGCAAAAAATGTAGACATGCCACTTACTGCCTTAGTTGGAAGGCAGTATGGGTATTCACAGTATGTATTCTTGCATGCTTGTCAGATTATCAAGACTATTTTAATTATTAAGACTAACATTACCTGTGATGACAAACATACTGGATTATGAGATAGGACTGATATGCCGGAAGTGTTTTAATTTAAACTAAACTATTCCTGCTTTACAGTTTTTCCTCTCTTACGACTCTCTCCTACTCCCGGAGATGACTACAACTTTAACCTGGATGATAATGAAGGAGTCTGTGATCTCTTTGATGTGCAGATACTAAATTATTAGATATTGTGTCAACCGGACTACTTATCTACCTCTAACTATAACATTCTAGACTTCTTCATAACCTAAGTATTTGAATAATGAATGTATAACTTCTTAGTTCACTGACTCTGGGAGTATATTTCCTTTTGCTTCCTTTAACTACTTCACAAAACAAATTCAACAACCAGAAAAAAGGGCTTTTATAAAAAACTCTGGAACATTTTTTTCACCCAAGTATCCTCTGTGTAATCTATTTGGAGTTTTCTTTAGTAAGAAAAGTGAAAATGCTTTATAGCCTTTTCATCACTTTTTAAAAAATGATTAGGCTTCTTGCTCACAGTTAACAGCATTTTCTTTGAAGCTTTACTGCCAAGAAGCTTTCTATTTTTTTTAACCTTCCAATCAATTTTGAAGCTTTCACTGCCAAGCTGAAAAGTGAAGGATATCAATTTGAGTTACGCTAAATTGTTTCAGTGAACCAATTTTGTGAAGTGCCTTCTGTTTTAGCACTTTAAGTTTCTCACACTGACTTCTGACATTCCACTTTCCTAGATGATAGGAAAGGTCTGTTTGTAGTTTGTATTAAAGTGTGCCAATACTTGTATATTAACAAGATTTTTTTAATAAAATTGTACAAACAAAGCCATCAGTACTTTTGATCTTAATTTCTTGCAATCCCTTCGGTGTCCATTACGTGTTACAACTGAGATAATAGACTTGTGGCAGCATCCACGTTTGCTGGTTCCTCTTCCAGGTGTGTGGAAACCTGAAAAAAATGAGTTACAGTTTAAAGTAGAAAGCAGTATCTTTTTACTCTGCTTGGAAAAAAAAAACATCCCTAATAAATACCTGTTGTCTAGAAGATTAGTTTGTCTTTATATATTTAATTTAGGCTAATTTTGCAGTCATAATCTGATAATTTGGGGGATTCCAGGATTCACTAAACTTGACAGGTAAGCAGCTAATACTTTATGCTGCAGAAGACAGACAAAGCATCATGCCAGTAACGTAACATAACATTTCATGTTTCCCCTCAGCCTCTCCTTAAGGTATTTGACACCCATTCTGTTGCTGCCGGCCATACAGAAACTTGATCACCTCAGGCACAGTAAATAAAAATCAACTCATGTCCACTTCTCCCAACTCCCTCTACTTCCCCTCACAGGATTTATCTGTCCTTTGTCCTGGCCCACTACTTTCTCTCTCCCCCAAACCACGCCCAGTATATCAGGAAGGGTCAGCATAAACAGTTTATATGGAGGAGCTTGTCTGCAATTAAATTCTGTGAATTATTTCTTGCTCAAGATTGCATGTAGCCCTGTTTAATACACTAGACAAAGGAAGATGAGTGAACCTTAAGCGCTACAGGCAAGAGCTATAGTACAGCAATTGTTGTTTCAGATGCTGCATGAGGGAATACAAAGTCTTAGGAATCGGGAGCAGAAAGAGGCCGAGCTGTTTGGTTCAAAGCACTATTAGATGCTTCAGGTAGGGAACAGCAAGGTTCATCCTTGCTTTCTGTGTCTATTCATGTTGAGCATAAGTCTTAAATCGAGTCTGGAGCTGGAATTAACTTTAAAAAAAAATCAATTAAAAAACAGCTAGAACATAATTTAAAGATACGTTTTGGAAACATGCTCCGGCTTGGCTGTCCACCCTCTTCTTTAGTAGTTATATAGCACTTGAATATGCTAACCATATTTCAACATTACCACACAACTGAAATTAATAAAGCTGGCTTTACAGCTTTAAAGGAGCTTCATGAATTGCCTGCAGTCTTAGAGCCAGAATATAATGCTTTGAACATGCATTTTCCTTTCATTTACCTCCTCAGATTTTTACAAAGGGAAATTACCTGATGAGTCTTCTGAGGTTCCGCTGCAGTGCCTTTTGATAGCTGCTGTACTTCTTTCTGCACTTCAGCAAATGCTTTATTTATTGTGCTAACTTTCTCAGCATTTCTAATGTTTATCTGGGAGAGAAAAAACATACACACATTGGTATTTTTAACTGAAATTCCACTGGCGTGTGAACTTGCACCATTTCTGTACAACTAATATATAGCCAGTGTTATATGCATATCTTCAAAAATTGCTTTTTAGTAGGTATGTTTTTAAACTTGAGTTTCTCTGTTAATTATATCAAGTAGTCATGTACTACTAACGTTCTAATGAATTGAAAATTACGAAAGCAGTTAAACTTGTTCTGTTGGAAAGGGAGCCCGTAGTGATCCAGAAACAGAACACACAGAAAACAAAAGCCAGGCTGTGGACAGGTCCTGCTGTGCCACCCTCAGCTCCTCTTAGCTGGAGTGGGATTCCAGGAAGGGCTCCTTCCTTCATTTGTAAATGATCTTACCATTTTGAATTTCTTCCAGTAGTTTGCCTTTCAGCATCACACCTTGCATTCCTACTTGTTCATACCGTAGGGCTGGCCAACGTCATCATTCAGATTTTGCTACGGTATTTAAAGAAAATTCTATGGCTGGAGCAGACCAGGATGTATATTTGGTCCCTGGACACCTCAACCTCACTTCATAAGTTATTTCAACAATGATACTTGATTTTGAAGAGGAAGAGCTAAGATAGGGACATGCGCTGTGCTCTGGGGACAATACTCTGTTGTAGAGGAGCAGGGTGGATGCATGGGGCCATCAACTCTTTCACCACTGCAGCAAATTAAAATTCAGTTGATCTCAGCCCTAGCACCTGTTGCTTCTGAAGCACCACGTTTGGAACAGGATCGTAGCCAGATAATGGCCTATTACATTGCAAATGTTCCAGAAGCACACTTGTACTTCTTCAGGCAACCCCAAATTTCAGGATACCTACTGCTATTCCAAAGGCCACCCCTGTAATTCACCTTTCAGCAATTTACATAAGCAGAAGCAAACCATGAACTGTTACATGTATTCATTTTGCTTTCAAAGCTTCCATAGTTTCAGAGCAAGTGTACATTAACAATAATTCCATTTATTCTGAGTGACTAAGAGAACCAGTAGTAAGAAAGCGGTGGCAAGAGGCTCATAAAACAAGCCTCTTCAGATTAGTAGTTTAATTCATAATACCCTGAAACTCCAGAACCAGTCCATGACTCCAGAAACACGGACTCAGCTCCTAGCTCACATCAGAATGGATGGAACTATGGACAATGCAATTTACAAAGAGCTTAGGTTTCTCAGTGGGGCTTGTTACCATTTTCCAGCTTCACAGGGGTGCTGAAAGGATCCAGTCAGTTTTAATACCTGATATCCACAGCTACTCTGGCAGGACTCCTCTGTAGAAAGAGGCTCTGTAGCTAGCATGTGTGTCTATATCAAAAGTTGTTTGAATAGTTACAATGGGGTTTTATCTATTAAAGAATAAACCTATTTTAACAATTTTTTCTGAGCATTTTCCTATACTGCTTAATGATAAGTAAATCCCCAAAGGCTTAATGAATTAAAGAATACAGCTTCAAACACACAGAATAAAATTTTACTCCTAATAAGCTACTGAATATGTTTTTAAACCTGTTTCTCCTTTTATTATACAGAACCCTCTAGACTAAGTGGAGATGTGACGCCAGCAATATGAAATTGTTTGGGGCCTCCCTGTTTATTTCCAAAGTTTGTTATGTTCCTGTCTGTCTACCCAATGAACTTGTCAAGTGGCTTTAGCTTCCAGGAGAAAAACTGAAAGGGCCTTTTCTTAGAGCTGCTATTTAACTCTGTTTGCCCAACAGACTGCAACTAAATCTAGTGGGAACAATACGCCACTAACTTTCTACTTTTATAATCAGATGACCTTCTAGAGGCACCTGCTGAACTCTCAGCAGATTACACAGCTCAGGCTGGAGGCAGAGTTTAAGAAGATACCATATAATAAGTTGTTGCTACCAAGAGGAAAACTCTTGCTTAGATCACCCCTACCCCTTGTCCCCTCCATCGCTCCCTGCCACACAACCCACTCTCTTCCTCCTCTGGGCTGCGGTGCTCTCCAGATCTGAAAATGGCAGAATATTATCTTTGCTTCTTTACTTTTCCATTGCTTTAGTGGATTAAATCAGCTCACAGAAGGGTCTGCGGAGCATCCCAGCCGATCTAGGGTGTTAGAAGGGGGAAAAGAGGAATTAAGGAGTAAAACATATGGCAGTGTGTGCTCTTAGATCTGTTCACTGCATCTCACTGACATGGTTTTACTTGACAGCTGAGACAAATAAACAGCTTCTGGATCAGAAAAGGCTCCATCCTTCCTGGTACTTCCCCCCCCAAATGTTTCTCTTTGCACTCGATCATAATTAAATTTGTTCAACTCATCAACCCAGAAAAGAAAACGCAAAATGCATTTTTAATTGCTTTTGCTGCTGATTTAGCAAGTTGAATCACCTAGTATGCGATGAGTTCCTGAGCCAGCATCGAGGTGAGCTGTGGGAACAGAGCCTGGAGCCTGGTAAGGGGGGCTGGGGTCGGGAACATGACAGAAAGGAGCAGGACCTGCCTTTGCAGCATCTGTGCCTGGTAGTTTGGATCAAGCCATTTTCTCAAACCGTACTCTGAAATACACCATCAGTGATGCTGCAAGTGTTGCCTAGTAAATGTAAGCTCATTAAACAACTGACGCCTTTTGCACCCTGTTCTCCAGGACACACAAAGATATTACCACGTACTTTCTAAATGAGCCCCCCTCAAGCAGAACAGCTTGAAGTCTTATGTGTCAGATGCTTGCAGGAGATCATAGAATGATAGAATGGTTTAGGTTGAAAGGGACCTTGAAGATCATGTCGTCGCAGCCCCCCTGCCATGGGCAGGGACACCTCCCACCAGACCAGGTTGCTCACAGCCCCATCCAGCCTGGCCTTGAACACCTCACGGGATGGGGCGTCCACAGCTTCTCGGGGCAGCCTGTTCCAGTGCCTCACCACCCTCAGAGTAAAGAATTGCTTCCTAATATCTAAAGCTCCCCTCTTCCAGTTTGAAGCCATTACCCCTCATCCTATCGCTACATGCCCTTGTAAAAACAGATCAGTCAAATAAACGCTTTGTGCTTCTCTTTTTGGAGACACTGACATCAACATACAAACCGAATTTTCAGGAGGAAAAAATCGCGTACTTTGCAATGTCCTGCCCAGAACAACGCTGCCCATAAAACCGCTCCGGTCAGTCACTGCCGAGCGCTCCCCTCGCCCGGCAGAGGAGGCCCGAGAGGAGGAGAGCCCGCACCGGCCCGGCCTAAGCCCCGCGTGGGGCCTACGGGCTGAGGCCCTCCCTCCCGCCAGGCGACCCTCCTCCCGCCCGGCCGCCCCCCGCCCCACTCACCTGCTTCAGCCCGGAAGTGACGGGCCGCGCTTTGCCCTTGGCCTTGGCCTTGACGGCGCCGCTGCGGGCGATGGAGAAGACACTC